GTATCTCAGCTGGGTGTCAGGCATGTTAATGAGCTGTTAGTAAACTCTCTTCACTGGTGAGGGTCAGAACCTCTAGTATGCCTCTACTCTCATTCACACAACAGCCACTACCTGGTAGACCTCAGATGGTTCAGAACCTATCTTTAATTAAGGAGGGGGTCCCCACATGGACCTCTGGGGTCCTTTGCACAAGCTTCCACATTTCTGATGCCCCAAATCTATAGGTTGCAGCTGCTTCAGTTGCCTTGAGCTCTGTTCTCTGCCTCCTCAGCTCAGTGGACCTAACAAATCCTACATGGGCTCCTCTTGCACCAGCCTAAGAATTGTCACTAGTTACACACTGGCATTGGTTGCATTCACTTCATGGGTTTCCTTTATTAGGGACTGTAGTCTTGTACTGCCTGTTGTCCATTGCCTGGAAAATGTTCTTTCATATATCTTGTCCAATTTTATATTATGATAGGAGGATTAGCACAATACTGATTCATCTGTCACGATGAGAAACAGAAGCCTGAGAGGCGTTTTATATACCTTTGGAAGGCTAGGGGCAGGACTGAACACAATTATCCTCTGGGAGACCTTAACAATGTGTCCCTGTGGTGTCATTTCCTCCTTGTTTCCTATTCCCACATTCCTGCTCCCTGGGATTGCCTCCCAAATGAATCATTTATACACAGATCCTTCTCTCAGGCTCTGTTTTTTTTTTGGGAGGGGGCACGAAACTAAGATATAGAGTAAGTGTTGTATAAATCTTAGCTATCATTACAAGAGCAGTGTATTTGTATAGGCATGAAGAATGTGTGCCTGCAAACTCTCTGTGTTTGTGTGTGTTATGTCTGAGTGTGTCCCCAATCAGCACATGTGCATTTAGTTCACCCTACATGTCTTTATGTAGATCTGTATTTCTCTGTGTGAATACACAACACACACTTGCAAATCTAGACTGGGAAGGCACTGCAGGTGACAGATCCTGAGAGGCCATAGTTTTTGTGAAGTCTAACTTGTCTATTTTTATTTTGCTGTTTTTGTCTTGGGTGTCCTACCCAAGAAATCATTGCCAAATCCAACATCATGATGCTTTTGTCCTGTTTTGTTTTGTTTTGTTTTTTCCCCTAAGAGTTTTATTGTTCCTAAAGACTTATCTTTAGGTCTTTGAGTCATTTTGAGTTGATTTTTGTATATGGGGCTAATTAAGGGTCAAAATTCATTGTCCTGCATGTGCCTATCCAGTTTCCCAGCACTATTTGTTGGGTGGGGATAGGTACCTGCTATTGTGCTAAGAGCTGAAACTGACTGAAGTTAACCAAAATTTACTGTCCAAGCCTTCCTTTGGAAGTTGCAAACCTTCAGTAGATCCCAGAGTTCCCAAATAGTTATATTAGACAGATTCTGCCAGAGCAATTGTTGTCTAGGTGGAGAGACAGATTCCTGATGCTTCCTGCTCTACCAGCTTCCCAGAATGCTATCTGGTACCCCTTCACTTTTTAACCCATCAGAGTCTTTATGCTTAAAGTGTATTTCTAGTATACAACATACACTGGGTCTCATTTTGAGGTACTCTGACAACGTCCATCTTTTAATTGTTGTATTAGACATTCACATTTAAATTGATCATTGATATAATTTTATTAACATCAACCACTGATATAATTTTATTAATAGAACTGGTTTCTATTCCATTACCAAAAGCTTTCTGCCTTCTCTGGTTTTAATCGACCATGATATAATTCCATTTTATCTCCTCTCAGTGTCAATTTTACTTCTTTTAAAAACATTTCTTTTTTTTTGTGGTTGCCCTAGAGTTCTCAGGATACATGTTTAACTATTATAAGTCCACCTTCAAATATTTCTGTAAAGCTTTATGTGTAATGCAGATGTTTCATTATGCAGTATTCTCAATTCCTCCCTCCTATTCCCTCTTCCACTGCTGTCATATCTTTCACTTATCCACATGCTATAATCACCCAATACAATGTTACTGTTTTCTCTGTACAGAATTATGTCCCCCCCTCCTCCACAATTCATATGTTGAAGCCCTAACACCCAATATGACAGAATTTGAAGACAAGGCTTAGAAGGAGGTATTTAAAGTTAAATGAGGGGAACCCTGGTTGGCTCAGTTGGTTGAGCATCTGCCTTCGGCTCAGGTCATGATCCCAGGACCCTGTGAGATCCAGTCCCACATCAGGCTTTCTGCTCAGTGGGGAGCCTGCTTCTCCCTCTGCCTGCTGCTCCCCCTGCTTGTGTGCACTCTCTCTCTCTCTGACATATAAATAAATAAAATCTTAAAAAAATTAAAGTTAAATGAAGTCATAAGGGTGGGGCCCTGATCCCACAGGATTAGTGTTGCGATAAGAAGAGACATCAGAGAGCTTGTTCTTGCTCTATCTCTATGTGAATGATCCAGGGAAAGGCCATGTGAGGACAAAATGGCCATCTGAGAGCAAGGAGAAGGATGCTTGCCTGAAAACAAGTCAACTGGAGCCTTGATCTTGAACTTTCCAGCCTACAGAACTGTGAGAAAACAAATGTCTTTTGGTTAAGCCCCTCCTTTCCCCCCGAGTCTGGCAGCCCGAGCTGACTAAGAAACTATTGTTAATTTACATGGTTATCTTTTAGATTAAATACAAATAAGAAAAATAAAGGATTTTATTTTCATTTATGTCTTCTCTAACACCCTTTCTTTTTCTTTTTTTAATGTAGATGAGCTGGGTGTTATATGAAAACAATGAATCGTGGATCACTACATCAAAAACTAAAGATGTATTTTATGGTGACTAACATAACATAATAAAATAAAATTAAAAAAAAAATGTAGATCCAAGTTTCTAACCTCTAGCATTTTCTTTTTGCCTGAAGAAAATCTCTTAACATTTCTCAGAGAGCATGAACCCTGGCAACACATTCCCTTAGTATTTGTGTGTATGAGAAATTATTTCTCTAGTGGTTTTGGAGGATAAACTTATGGGAATATAGAATTCTAAATTGGTCTTTTTTTTTTTAAATTCAACATTTTAAATATTTTACTCTGCTCTTTCTTGCTTGCATGGTTTCTCATATAATTCTTGTCTTTGTTCCTTCAGAGATAAGGTTTTTCCACCCTACCCCTGCTTCATTCAAAATTTTCTTTTTGTCTTTGGTTTTCTGCAGTTTGATTATAATCTGCTTAGGTGTGTAGCTTCTCGGCATCCTCTGAGTTTCGTGGATCTTCCTGGATCTATGCTTTGGGATCTGTCATTAACTTGGAATGTTCTCAGCCACTACTTCAAATATCACTCTTTGTTCTTTTTCTTCTGTTTTTGGCCTTCTAATTACATACATGTTACATCTTTTGAAAATTTCCCACACTCCTTGGGTATTCTGTTCCATGTTTATCCTTTCCTCTCTTCGTGTTTCAGTTTGGGAAGTTTCTACTGATGTATCTTCAAGATCACTAACTCCTTCCTCAGCCGTGTCCAGTCTATTGAGCGCAGGAGAGACATTCTTCATTTCAGCTAGAGTGGTTTTGATCTTGAGCATTTTTTTGATTATTTCTTAGAATTTCTGTTTCTCTAGCTGTATTATCCATTTGTATTGCATAATTGTCTATTTTTTTCCATCAGGGTTCTTAATTTACGAATCATAGTTAGTGAGATTTCTCTGTCTGCTGATTTCAACAACTGTGTCATATCTGAGTCCGGTTCTGATGCCTGCTTTATCTCTTCAGGCTGTTTTTTTTTTCTTTTTCTTTTTCTTTTGGTGTGCCTTGTAATTTTGTGTCACAAGCCAGAAATGTTGTATCAAGTAATGGATATTGAGGCAAATGGGCCTTTAGTGTGAGGATTTATTTTAATCTAGCTCAGGGGTGCCTGGGTGGCTCAGTTGGTTAAGCACCTGCCTTCAGCTCAGGTCATGATCTCAGGGTCCTGGGATGGAGCCCCTGAGTTGGGCTCCCTGCTCAGCGGGGAGCCTGCTTCTCCTTCTCCCTGTGCCATTCCCCCTGTTTGTGCTCTCTCTCTCTCAAATAAATAAATAAATAAAATCTTTGAAAAAAAAAATCTGGCTCAGAGTTCACTATGTTTCATGTTTGCTGTAGCTGTAGGTGCCAGAGGCTTCACATTCTTCTGGACTCTTTGTTTTTTAATTCCTTCCTGACTTTGAACTTCCCTAACTTCTCCCCTAGAGATCCTGTGTCCTAGAGCCTTCAGTTGTAATCCCTGCTGTTATACTTACTGGAGCCCCTTTGGTGTGGTGCTAAGGAGTGGGGGATGGGCGTGTTCTATAATTTTCAGGTAAATCTGTCTTCCCGTGGGCCTGTGTGTCTAGCGTGTGACCCTCACAAGTGTGTCTCCCCAACACACCCATCCTTGGGTGAGACAGGGAGGTTGGAGGGGGTTGAAGATGAAGCTCTCCCCTGCTGGGAAAAGGCTGTGGCAAAGTCCTTTCCCTGGAGAGTAGGTTTTCCTTATGGAGAAGGCTCTAGAGTGTAATTAATGGGGATTACTCTTTCCTTCCCCTGCCAGAGCCAGGAGAGGATCTTTTTGGGATTTTCACAGTAAGAACCTGGTGGAGTTCCTGGTAAAAAAAAAAAAAAAGCTTATAAAATTGTGGGCCCCTCCCCAAGCCTGCAGCAACCCTCCCCACTGCCCCGGGATTCTTCACTCTCACCAGTTTATACTCAGCCTTTAGCAACTCAGGAGAATTAGCACTTAACTCTTCCTACTGCTTATGGCTCCAGCACTTTTTGCTTCAGGTAAGCACAGTTCAGCTGTGGCTCAGGATCCATCCATCTGTCCAGAGTTCAGAGCAGCAGTTTATCTCAGAAGCCCAGTTCTCTGGTGGGTCCAAGAAAAGTCATCAATTTTTCAGTTTGTTCAGCTTTTTATTTATGTGTTGTTATTGTTGTAAGGGTGGGAGTGATGACTCCCAGGCTCCTTACATGGAGGAGTCAAAACTGGAGCCTGTTGCAGTTCTCACGGCTTAGAAAAAATGTGCTCATTTGGTACGTGTTCTTTTTTGACAGACCACAAAGACAAACTTTGGAAGGAGGGCACCAACAAGTTTCGTTCAGCAGCAGAGCATCCAATCCTTTGCAGAGTAGGTGCCATTTATTTCACTTGTCCTGACGACCCTGTGCCAAAGGGACGGATACCTCAATTTCCAGCAGAGAGCTCAGTGAGGTTTGGTCAACAGTCCAAAGTCACACGGCCTGCTGGGTACAAAGTTGGGTTTCAAACACGGCTTCCATGCCAGGGTCTTTCCCAAGAATCCAAGCCACAAGACCCTCTCAATGTTGTCATTGGTTGAGATGTAACTGCATGCCTAAAAATGGCTATCTTTCTAGTTGCTTCCCGCATCCATCCTAATAGTCAGGTTTTGGGGTTTTTCAACATCAACTGTGAAATTGAGCAAGACTCCAAAGATAAAGGTTTTATTCCCTCAGTCGAGTGTCGGCAAACTTGCTGTAAGGGACATATAGCAAAATTTTCCGATTTACAGGTCACATGTCTCTGTGGCCATTTACTCAACTCTGCTCTTCTGCTCACAGCAGAGACTATACATAAGTAAATGGGCATGGCTGGGTCTCAATGAAACTATTTGTAAATATTGAAATTTGAATTTCATTGAATTCCCACACGTCGCAAAATAATATTCTTCTTTTGATCTTTATCTGTCCATTAACAAATGTAAAAGCTATTATTTAGTTCAACAGGTGCACAAAACCAGGTGGCCAGCAGGGTCTGGCCCACCAGCTGTGGTTTGCTCTAAGTCCCACAGACAATGGTACCCATTCTTAACAAGGCTGCATTTGAAAGGGTGACACGAGCTTGGAAGGTATCCGATGTCATAGTTACAGAGAGGTGATAATGGTGATAATAGTGGGTATTTATGAGCAGAATTGAAACAAGTCGTGCTAAGTCCTTTGTGTAGAGATCTTCCTCGCTTCCCTCCACAGCCCTCAGGAGGACCTATAATGGATGCGCCCATTTAACAGATGAGAAACTGGAAGCCGAGTCACACACTCGGTTTCAGTGGCTCCTGTCAGTTCCGCTTTGGGGGAGTGGTGGGGGTGGGCTGGGGTACAATGAGTATGTGAAATCTGCCATCTGGGACAGATTCTCTATCACACATTAAAAGGATGGGAAGAAAGGCGTCTCTCTGGATTCAGAAGCCGGGACACCCCTGCTTTTCAGCTTTCACGGACTCATTCTCCTTTTTCCTGGTGACTCTAGCACTGTATGTGATTCACTGTCCCCAAGACCGTCTGCTTTCTCTGAGCGGCCAGCCCAGAGCCCACCATGTAGGATGTTACCCCTAGACCTGTGTTACCCCTAGACCTGTGTTAGGCAAATCGCTGAGCGTCCGAACATTGTTGTGAGCTTTGGCATAATGTGTCTTATTACTGTGAATCGGTGCTTAAGCCACCGGGGCTAGTGAGCGGCTAATTTAACATAGACTATAACTTAATGAAAGCCTGCATCCTGGCCCCTTAGCCTGTTCCTGCCTTTGTACAATGCACTTTGCACATTAAAGTAATTGCAAAAACTTATGAGGACGCCAGGAAAGTTGACTCTTCCTCTTTATGAAGAAAACAAATGTGTTTTTCTGCAGACTGCCAAGGCTCCGTTGTAATGATTTAGCAGATGGAGCCAGCACATGGGAGCCTGCCGGGCGCAGCTGTCTGCTTTTTCCAGTCTGAGGGGTTTGTGACTGCACGCATAGCACAGACGTGGGCAAAACATTCTCTCTCCCTGCAGCCCACTCTGTGAGCCCGCGATGTCACTCCAGGTGGGGGCGGGGGACCTGTTGGGAGACGGGCTGAGAACCAGCCCAAAGCATCGGCGCCTGAGAAAGCTGACTGCAGGTTCTCTACGTTGTTTTACTCACATTTGGGTTGAAGCCCCTCCAAAGTGCCCTGTCACTGTAGGAGGGGGGTGCCCCGGCTGGCCCATGACCTAGGTGGGAGGTCAAGGCCGAGCTGCTACTCTTCTCCGACATCCCTCCTGCTGCGCTCCAGAAATAAACCATTTGAGGGCAAGGGGCCAGCAAAGAGAAAGGGTAGGGCATCTGCTTTTGAAGATTCACCTGGCTGTGAGATTTTGGTTCTATCTGTTAAGTGCTTTTTCTTTTGAATTCAGCCAGAATTCAAAACTTAGGTGCTTTTTTTTCTTTTTTAACTGACCCGTCTTTAGTATGAATAGTTTAGGGGGAAAAGAAAACAAGGAACAAGTTTAGGGTCTGGGCTTATGAACAACCCACTATGCAAAGTTATATTTGTGTTCGAACAAATGAAGACAAACTTAGTGGCTTAAAACAGCATAAATTTATTCCAGCTCTGGAGGTCAAAATCAAGGTGTTAGCAGGGCTGCACTCCTTCTGGGGGCCCCGGGTGGTGGGGTGTATGCTTTCTTGCCTTTTACAGCTGCTGGAGACTGGCTGCACCCATCGGCTTGGGGCCCCTTCCTTCGTCTTCAAAGCCGACAACATAGCATCTTGTAATCTTTCCATCTCTGCCTCTCCTGCTTCCCTCTTTCTCTTATAAGACCTTTGTGATCACACTGGGCATACCTAGATAATCAAAATAATTCAGAATAATCTTCCCATCTCAAAACTCTTAACTTAATCACATCTCAAAGTCTCTTTTAGCCACAGCAGGTGGCAAATGCACATGTCTCGAGGATTAGGATGTGGGCGTCTTTGGGAGGTGATTATCCTGTCTACCACAAAAGCATTTTGTATTAAATTTCCCTTTCCTGATGGGCTAAGGACTTTCCCAGGAAGAAGGTCTCCTGGTAACGGTTGGAATCACAAGACCAAATTATACGGCGAAGGCTTTTTTGGTTGTAAGTAACAGAAACCCACTTGACTAGCTTAAGAAAAAGAGGGGGTTTGTTATTGCTGAGGTCTGAAGACCAGGAAGTAGAGTCAGACCCCATGAAGGCTCAGAACCAGGACCTGGAAAAATTCTTCTCCATGGAACACATGACTCTCATTTCTGCTTTACCTTTAGGCTCCTCTTCCCCACTGGCCGGTTATAAGAGCTCAGGCTGTCATAATGAAGGACCACAGACTGGGAAGCTGGAACAAGAGAAATTAATGGTATCCCAGTTCTGGAGGCCGGAAGACCAAGATCAAGGTATCAGCAGGGTTGGTTTCTTCTGAGGCTTCTCTCCTTGGCTTGCAGGTGGCTGTCTTCTTCTCTGTGTCCTCACGTGGTCTTCCCTCTGTGCATGTCTGTGTCCTAGTCTCTTCTTATAAGGACATCAGCCATTTTGGATTAGGGCCCACCCTGGTGACCTCATTTTCACTTACTCACCTATATAAAAGACTCACCTGTCTCCCAATACAGTTACATTCTGAGGTACTGGGGTTAGCATTTCAACGTATGAATTGGGGGGTATCACAGCCCCTAATACCAGCTTTCTCCTCTCCTCTGAGCATCTGACCACCCCAAGGTGCCTGCTTGAACTTATCTGCCAATAGAGACCACTTAGGCTCCTGAGTACCAAAGCCGAATTCTTTGGGGGAGGTAATTCAGTGTGTCTAACTTGGGTAGGGCAGTCACTCACGTGCCAGGTGCTGCTGGCCAAAAAAAGTAGGGATTACCTAGCCTGTCGGTCTAAGTGGGCCAAATGCTGGGCAAATAGCCCCTCGATCTCAGTGGCTTCACATCATCCAAATTTGACCTCTATCCATGGCACAGTCCCCATTGCTGACCACCATGGTTCCCCAAAGGGTCTTTTCCTCTTCAAGCTAATGAGCTCCCAAGCAGCCACCCACTGGCTCACCACGCGCCTCTTTGTTAGGGTGACCAACTGTTTTTCTGGGCCCAAGAAGGACCCTGGCACGCAGGGACTTTCAATTTTAAAACTGGGACAGTCCTAGAGAACCCAGAATGAGTGGGTCACTCTCATGTTTGTTCAAACACATTTTTCAGTAACAGAGAAAACTCGCTTCGCCACCCTGGAATTAATGAGAACCCAAGAGAAGCTGACATGCAACCATATGAGCCACCCTGCTGGCAAATGTCTGTTCCCCAAATCTCATGGATCAAACTCTCTGCTTAACATCTGGCCTGAGGGCAGAATCCATCTGAGGCTCCCTGGGTCAAGCACCTGGACATTAAAAAAAAAAAAAAAAATGTGACTAGGTCTCATCCTTGGGCGATCTGAATTAATACAGTTATCTCACTACTACTGAAAAACCAAGAGGTCGGGTACCAGGCTGTGTTCTCCACAAGGCAGCATCGTCTGGAGCTGTGTGCAGGGTCCTCTGGGCTGGGGACTGGGGGGTTCAGTCCCCCCTGGTGTCACCAATCTCTTTTCTCTCCTGTCTAGCTCACTGACCGTGACATCCCTGGCTGGCCACCGAGGCAGTTGGGTTGGTCAGAGGTGGTGTTCGCTTCCAGACTTTGACCCAGTCAATCTTGGAAGAAGAAATCTCAGTGTGGATTTCTTCTCATGAAACACTCATCTTTTCGGGGCAGTTGTAAACTCCATCCCCCCACACCCCATCCAATCTCAGTTTTCAGGCTCTATATTACCTTCACGGGGAGAAAGAGGTCAGGGAAAAGGCAGCTAGGTGGGCAGAACCCGGTTTCCTGGTGATTTTGAGTGGCTCAAGCCGTCAGCCTGCTCCACCAGCGTCGTAATACCCAGACAGGTAGCCCACCCTGGGGGCCTCCGGGTTCCGGGGGCTCAAAGCAGAGTCCTCACCTGTCATTTTTCTTAGCAACGGGGCCTCCACTGTCTCCACGGCTTGTCTTGCAGTGTCAGGAGTTTCTATTTACCAGCCAAAAAGGAGGCTGAAGGGTTTGATGCTTGCTTTGAAATCAGCACCTGGGGTTTGGATTGTGTTCTCTGTCTCCTGGTGGGCTCGTGTTCCTCTCCGAATCAAAAGCAAAAGGAAAAGAGACAGACTGGGGTAAAAATATTGGAGAAACTTGAAGAAAATGCTGTCCTAGTTTATCTTCAGAGGATATTCACCCAGCCCTTCTGATGGTGCAGGAATTCGCTGCAACTCTTTCTGACTCCCACTGACCCTTAAAAAATTAAGGGACAATGACAGTAAAAGAGGCTTTGTGACATGTTAATTTACTGAGTGTGGGTGGTGGGCTATGTAATGATGGGGGTTTCATGCATGGGGTCAAAGTGTCTTTCTTGAAATATTTATTTACTTGACAAATGTCTGAGAGTGTCTATCATGTTTCTGGCACCAAAGTGGGAAGCCTAGGGTTACGATGGCATCCCAGGGCAGGTCTTCTCCCAAGTAGACTGTATTAGGGTTCCCCTGAGAAAACCAAGAAGGAATATATATATGTGTGTGTGTGTGTGTGTATATATATATATATATGCATGTATATGTATATATATATGTATGTGTCTATATATATATACATATATATATATAAAATTTATTATAAGGAATTGGCTCATGCTATTATGGAGGCTGAGAAGTCCCATGATCTGCTATTTGCAAGCTGGAGCTAGAGACCCAGTAGAGCTGGCAAGCTTATTTGCTGGCCCGAGAGTAGGAGGACCCCCGGTATTGATTTCAGCCTGAGTCTGAAGGCCTGAGAACCAGGAACCTTGAGGGCAGGGGAAGAGCTAAGTCCCCACTCAGTCAGGCAGAGAGCCAACTCAACCTTCCTCTGCCTTTTTATTCTATTTGAGCTCTGAATAGATTGGCTGAGACACACCCACACTGGGGAGGGCAATCTATGTACTTTGTCTATGGATTCAAATGTTAGTCTTACCCAAAAACATCCTCCCAGACGCACCCAAAATCATTCTTGACCAAATGCCTGGGCAACCTATGATCCAGCCACACTGACACATAAATTTACCCATCACAGATGGGGCGGGTGCGTCCCCATCTCAGCCCAAGAAGGCCAGGAATCTTTTACCAGAGGGAAAAAGGTATAGGGCAAGCAAAACCAGAAGATGTCCTTCACATCACTACAAGGTTTCCAGGGTGGGAGGGACTGCTTCATTTGTACTTTTCTCAGGCTGAGTCTGTGATCCCAGCCTTTTCCAGACCAGCAGCAGGTGCCCCTTGGGTTGGCCATGCATCTTGACGGCAGGTGCACCAACTCAGTCCATTCTTGTTGCTGGTTCCGAATGACTGGATTGGTCCCGGCCCCTCCCTCTGTGACTCCGAGTCCTCTGTTCACCCTTGTCCCAGCTCCCCACCTTGCAGCCTGGGACGATGGTGCAAGTCTGGTGTCGCAAAAACCTCTGGGTAAGTGTCACCATAATTTATGCAATGCTGTGGGCCCCACACACAGAGTCACAGCTAGATCTCTGCTGCTTGCGAAACGTCATTTATTTCCACGTTTGTTACTTCCATCTTGCAGCCTGTGGGCAAGCTTTCTCTAAAGCAATTATAACGGGGCGGGGGGTGGGGAGATCCTTGGACCTGAGTTGGGCAGCTGTTGACGTCGCGCTGGGTAATGTCATAAGTGCGATCAGCCTGCCCGAGGATTGAGCGACTGCAGGCATTTTGCGAGGTGATGACCATGCACTGAGATTCTGGAGCCAAATAGCTTCTAGTCTTGCCTCCCGCCCGCCCTTGGTCAACCCACCCTGCACACTCCGGCTTTGTTCTGAAACTGGCCGAGGTCCTCTGGAGCTTGGAGCGTGACTGGGCCAGACAGAGTGGCCTTTGGACGCATCAAATGCAGGGGCTCTTGAAGTGCACACCTGTTGTTGCCTGGGCGCAGAGGTGTGGCTGCACACGGCCGGGAACCACAAACGGAGCAACCGTCGCTTTTCTGTTCTTTTAAACAGCTCTCACCGCTTCAAGGGGAAAGTCTCGGTGGGGTGCAAATCTGCTCTTCCTACTTCCCTCGCCTTCCAGCAAAGAGAGAGTGGGACGCAGGCGCAGAAACTTCAGGTGGGGCTCCGTGGCCAGAGAAACATCACAGTTAGAGAATTCCACTGTATTTATGTTCGTGGGTAGTTTTTATTTGTGGGAAGTGATGCCTGTTTTTCCTTTAAGACAGTTTTTTAAGGGCGCCTGGGTGGCTCAGATGGTTAAGGGTCTGCCTTCGGCTCAGGTCATGATCCCAGCGTCCTGGGATCGAGTCCCGCATCGGGCTCCTTCTCCTTGGGAGCCTGCTTCTCCCTCTGCCTCTCTCTGTCTCTCTGTCTCTCATGAATAAATAAATAAAATCTTTAAAAAAAAAAAAAAAAGACAGTTTTTTAAAAGTTACTTGTAAATACACTTAGGACACAAAAGTGAGAATTCAAGCAAGATCCCAGGTTTGGGGGGTGGCAGGGGATGCGCCGTGAGCCCCACCCTTGGCTACGGCCTGCCACACGTTGTTGCGCAAATGCCTGGCTCCCGGCTCTGCAGTGTGTTTCAGGCTGGTGCATGGGCGTCACCTGGGAGCCGGTGAGGGATGCAGGAGGCTGGGCCAACCCCAGGCCGGCTGAACAAGAAGCACGTTAACAGGAATCCTGGGGTTTTGTGTGCAGGTTAAAATTCGAGGTGTCTTGATCCAACACCTAGATATGTACATCCTATCTCCTGGTAGACTCCTTGAGGTTAGGCACCCCACTCCATAAGACCCAGAGGCACCACTATCTTATTTAGCAAAACAGACAGAATAATTTTTGTGTCACCAGACTGTGCCACCTCATTACTGAGCTACCAGTCGTGGAAAGAATGGAGATATCGCTGCAGCCAGAAGCAATGAAGGAATGAGTGAATGAATGGACATACAATTCTTACCAAGTACCCACCATTTCCCAAACAGATGCTAAGCTAGGAGGTGTAGAGAAGATTAAAACAAAGAGCTTGCCCTCAGGGAAGTCAAGTCTCCTAGAGGAAACTGAGGCACGAACACATAATTACCACCCAGTGGATTGCATGAGGCAATAGCACTGTATGCAGGGACTCCTGGGAACCAAAGAATAGGAATATTGTCTAGTGCAGGCCAGAAGTTAGGGAGGGCTTCTTGGAGGAGGAGGCTCTTCTTGCTGTATTTGAAAAGATGAGAAGGATTTGAGCAAAGAGGGGAAGGGAGGAATTCCAGGCACTGGGGGTGGCACAAAGAGAGGCAAGGAGTCAGGAATAACAGGGTCTGGCCCTGGGCTGGTTTGGAGAGGGAGGCAGCACCAGATCACAGAAGGTTCCAGAAGCTATGGTGTAGAAGCTGAGCTCGTTGAAGGGTTTTCAGCAGGGGAAAAAAGAGGTCAGCATGGTCATATGTCTTAGCAGGGGACACCCTGGCTCAGGGTGGAAAATGAGGGGGCGGCGTGTAGCGCAAAGCTGACCCATGTGGGGGCTGCTGTTCTGGTCCAGGTGGGAGGTGAGGGAGTCTGGAACTGGGGCAGGGGCAGGGCGGGGACAATGCCGAGAAATACCTTTTCCTCTCTGGGTTCCAGACTGTGGGAGATGCTCCTGCTCTCTGCTTCAGCAGGGATGATGAAGAGAGGAGGCATCCTTTTCTTTCTTTCTTTTTTTTTTTAAGATTTTATTTATTTATTTGACAGAGAGAGAGAGCACAAGCAGGGGGAGCAGATAGAGGGGGAGGGAGAAGCAGGCTCTCTGCTGAGCAGGAAGCCCGATGCGGGGCTCAATCCCAGGACCCCGGGATCATGACCTGAGCCGAAGGCAGATGCTTAACCGACTGAGCCACCCAGGCGCCCCAAGGCATCCCTTTCTTTGTTCAGCCTGCAGCCAACCCCAAATTTCATGGGCACCTGCTTGTGGCAGCCACCTTGAGATGAGTTTTTCTTGATGGAACATTTGTGGGAAATAATTCCCATCCCTGCCTTGAACTCCTGCTTTCCCACTGTGATTTAGGTTAAAAATTGTCCACTGCTCTGAAGTTTGTGTTGGTGGTGTGTGTGTGGGGGAGTCCTCCAGTTGATTCCCCACCAGACACAGGCTCTCATAGACACAGTTCATTTGGAACATGAACCCGGGAACCTCCATACGGGTGTAAGTAGACAGGAAAGGGAAGGAAGCCAGGTGTCATCAAGCCAAGGATCACTGAGGGCACCTGGAGCTTGTGCGGCTGGGGAATTCTGGAAGCCAGTGTGGAGGACTTGACTGAGTCATCCCAACTGATGTGCTTCTACCT